GCTTTAATTAAAACAAGCTAATTTTTTAAGCAAAAAGAGAAATGGCAAAAGTATTATATTTGAAGGAGATATATAATGCTTTTAAATACTTATTTTTCACAATTTAAATCATTCTACTGTGGTCTGTTTAAAGTGGAACTCCACAAGCCCCTCTTTCACCCCATTTTCTGAGGTGTCTCAAAGCAACTAGTTTGACGCTGTGACGCTTCACACCCCGCTCCCCTCCAGCTTCCAGAGTGGTCCCATCTAGTTTGATAGCAGAGTTTACGACTATATAGCGGCACAGAAACATTTTATTTACAAATGAATTAAAAGATGTCAACAACAAAAGACTTGCCTATCCAGCCTTACATGTTGGAGACGGAATCTGATCCCAGAGTGAAGAAAGTAGTAAAAAAGTAGATTTTCCATAGTATGTCTCCTTTAAAATAACATCTTTGGGGCCATATATAATGTTAAAGAGAGACAGATTTGGCCTGCGGGCCTCGAGTTTGACATGTGGATTATTGAATGAGTTTCATTAAAATCAGTCGTCATTCTTGAGATATTTTGCTAACAGACACATAAACAAACACACACACAGACACAATTAATTAAAAAAAACAACAGTCAGACATGTCCAAATGTCTGACTTGCATTTTTTTTATGTATGTGTTTGTGTAGGCAGTGTTTATAGATGTAAACCTGGGCTTGGAGCAGTTGCTCATTATTTAATGTTAGGGGTCATTTTACAAGCTCACATATAAAAAACAACCTACAGCAAAATTGTGGTTTATATCGTTATTTTTTTTTAACATCTGAGTTTATTCCTCTTCAGGGCTTATGTAGAAGAGAATAAAGGCAGCGTCCCTTACATCTCTGCAGAATTGTTATGTTGCCGAAATTCTGCAGGGAAACGACAGGATGAGTTCGGATTTCGAGACTTATTTTTCCGTCAGTCATCAATCAAACTTGGCAAATTTGCGACCTTTCCTGAGAAACGTTGCACAATTGCCTCAACATTCATAGTTCTGTTTTCATTCCTCTTAAACCCAGTAACCCAAAATGTTTATGTCCATGTGAGAACTCTGCAGATGAAAAACTACTGATTTGTTTCACACCATCTGAAGTATCATTTTCAGACAAACAGAGGACAAAGCAATAGTTTTTAAAGTATCTGCAGGTTCTGCTGTCATCGTGTGGCACTTCAGAGAAGATGCAGCACAGAAAGTGTCCTGACAGTGAACTTGATGCGTTGTCAGCTGCTGTCAGCGGGGCTTTTTCTGGCTGTCACTCCAGTAAAGCAAAACAGCAACAGAGCCCAGATAAAGCCCTGTATCCAGTTTGTGCTACAGACCTCCTGTCACATATTTTCTTTGGTTCCTAAAATAGTGATCATGTATCATAGAAAAACACAAGCTTAAGTGAAAATTCAAACTCTCAAAGTGAAGTGTTCTTTCCCTCACAAAATGAACCCTGTTGTAAAAATCACATCTGAGCTGATTTCAAATGATCTGAATTTAAACACACCTACATGATGAACAGTTGGCCAAGTTCAAATTGCAGAAGTCAAAATAAAATTTAAAGCAGTGGTTCCCAAAACTGGGGTCAGGACACCACTGTGGGTCTTGAAACATCAAGGTGGGATCTTGAAAGGATTCTAGAATGAATTATGTTTAAAAGTAACTACTAGCAACAACTTTTTTTGCCTTAGTTGTTGCAAAAATCTGAGGTTAGTGGACTTAAAAATGGATTAAATTAGCATAATGAATATTGTTACTATGCCCTTGTTTACTTGACCCAATACAGTGTTTATCACCCAAAAGTAGTTGGGGACACAGGTGTTTGCTATTGTTATGTTGTGAGTCCGAACCTGAAAAGTTTGAGAACCACTGCTTTAAGATGTTCAGATAAAGTGTTACATTCTCTTCAACTCCTCAACACAAAACATGAGTGACACAAATTAGGATTTTTTTAAAGTCACTTGTTGACATCACAGGATGTAACAACCCTCTTTTCATTGTTGCCTGAAGCAATAGCGATGATACCCTCATCTGTGTGAAAATGTGGATTTTACGTGCACATAAACAAAAAATAAATGCAAACTATATTAGTTGTTTTAGGGTTTACCTCTTGGAATCCTTTCCTAAAGCTAACCATTAAGTTTTATATCCTAAACCTAAACTTTGTCAAACACATCTATTATTATTATTATTA